ACACACACACACACACACACACATACAGACATAGTGACACCATCGCGGGAATAGTCAGGGAAGGTTCCTAGGACCTCAAAACGTTGTGATCTGATGAAAACACGATTTTCGAAAAACGGGGTAAAAACAATAACTTCCCGAATTTTGAAAATTTTCAATTTTCTTAGCGGGAAGTTAGAAATTTTTTTCAATGTTTAATAAAGCTTTATTTTTTTTCCTCTTAGTAAATTGTTAATAACAAAACGAAAATTAACAATTATTCCAACGGAAATCTATTTTAAGAAATTTCAAATATAGCTCCACGAAAGGAAAATATTCTCAGATTAATAGTTTAATAAAATATCGCACTTGCAATGTTAATGTTCGTGCTACAAATCATTGTTAATTAATTAATGAATAACTTATTGAAAAATCGCAATAAAAATTTTTTGACCACGGATTATTGTTCATTGACCTATACTCTATACTACAGGCACCTGAATTTTTTTAATTTTTAATTTTCATATTTAAGGAGGTCCTTTCGCCGCCAATGTAAAATCAAAAATATTAGATTATGAGTAAATTCTATTTTTTTCTAATAGTTAAGGTCCTTATTTATTTAATAGTGAGGTTTAAATTATACTTTACCTGACAAATTTTTGAAAAAATAAAATTTTTAAATGTTAGTATTTGTTTCAGAGTCTTACGAGAAAGTCAGACGTTTGCAGTATTTCTTGAATTATACTATCAGTCATGGATTAGATGAAGTAAAAAAAACTAAAAATTAGATTTTCGAAATATTTAGGTTTCTTTTTTTGCAATAAAATATGTCAGTTACCGAGATATTTATTGAGAAATTAATTTTTAAAAATCACAAAAAATTCTCAAGTAACCTACATTAATATGGAGTCAAAATATTTGGCAACGTTGCGTAGCGCGCGAGCTTCAGACCATTTAATAAATTCAAACTAATTTATTTATTTACACTGACTGCAAAAACTTAAACGTAGTTAAGGTTATATTGTGCAAATGATAATGTAAACAACCGAAGTACAGCGTTGCCAATTCACGGACAGGTTACTAGCAGTTGATTTGAAAGAGTCAAATTAATTTTTGTATTTAACTATTTTTTTTTTTTTTTTTTTTCAAAGTTTCAACGATTAATGCCTCATATACTATTTATTATTTAATTTTAGGAATTTTTATGGGTTTTTTTATTTTAATTTATCGTATATTGACTACTACAATTGTTTTGACTCAACTGGAGCGAAAGGATTTCCTTAACTTCCTATATATTTTTAACATATAAAATGAAACCAAGTAGTTATTTTAGGTAACCGTCTATTTTTTCTCATGCAAAAATTTCTCGCCATCAAAATTCTCAGCAATAATTTCTTGTTCAATATTTTCTTGAAGGCTTTATTTCTCATTGTCAAAATTTATTCCGTATTATTTTCTAATACAAAAATTTATTTAAATATGCCTCCGTGTCTTTATTAATACGTAATAATTTATCGCGACAAAAATTTCTCATGCAAAAATTAAAAAAGGGTACAACACGGTAACAAGCTTATGTGTAGGTCTAATATCGAATAAAGTGTTACTTTGATTTAATTCTTTAGTCCAATTTACTTCTTTTTTCAGTATCTATTAACTAGTTCGTTATTCATTGTGGTCTTTTCAATTTTTCGTATAAACTTGAACTAGCTAGAAAATACGAAACAGAAAAAAATTCAGAATAAGTAATTACTACTCAAATTTGGATAACATTGTTCTTTTAGAATTTTCTAAATGCTGCTTCTCAAATAAATTTAAATACAATGATGTTCATATCAGGAAGTGATAAATAATTGATCAATCAACAATAAAATTGTATTTTACAAATTTAAAAATTTATTTGATAAAAAGTAATTATTAAAAATCAGAAAAATTTCGATAAATATTACGTGCAGTTGTACCAAAACTTCAATAATTTGTCTATTTACAATTCAAGAATATTAGTTTGTAAAATCTTTACTAAAAGAAAATCAATTTTCCTTATTTTGCAATGTAATTGAATATAACTAAAGTTTATTCAAAAAATAATACTTAATTTTTTATTTATTTTAAAACGTTTGAAAAAATGTTTGAAAAAAAAAATACTAAATGAGTTTTGTTAAAAGAGATGTTAATATATTTAAGTGGTCAAGTACTAATGCAATTACCTTATTATACACTTGCTTCTAAAATCGGCAAAATGATAAAAAATAAATTTCGATGGTTAATAAATTGATGGATTTTAATTATTTTTATTAAAGGAATGTAAATAAATTTTGTTTGAACAATTGGATAAATTCGGCTATTAATTTTATCGTTATCTTTGTAAAAAAATTATAAATATGAAGATTACTGATGAATTAGCATTTAGTTGTAATTTTGCATGAATTGATTTTGCTTCGGCGTAAAATTTTGAAAACTAAAAAAATTGTCCTTGTGAAGAAATAGTTCCTCAAATAAACAACTTGAGCTTTTAAAAATTTATGTACTTCAGGTTAATATCTCTGATTTAAGACAGCAATCAATTTATTTATGTTAATGTTAGATAAATTCATGATGAAAAAAATTTATTACAGTTACGTGTTGAGAATGAAAGAATACGAACGTGAACGTCGACTATTAGTTCGACAAAAGAGAAAGCAACAAAAAGAAGCTGCTGCAGCATAAGAATCAATCTATAAATCAACATCCTCACATTTAAATTATTCTTTGTCGTTAAAAACAAAATAGCAACTAATAAATAAAATCAACATTTTCTTGTTGTTAGTGTATATATTATAAAATTATTAAATAAAATTAAATTCAAAAGAACAAAATTATAAGATAATACTTTGTTTTTCATTAAAAATTTTATTTCATTTTAAGTATTGAATATTTTAAGTCTTAGCACGTTTGTTTAGCTTTGTTCATCACGGATGATTAAGGAAAACAAGTAATTTATTAAGATTTATTTTTCAATTAAAATAAAATAAATCAAACGTTCATTCAAGTATTTTTTTCAATTTAAACATTCGTGAATAATAAAGAAAAACAAGTGTAGTTAACACATTATTTTTTCAGCATCTACTCTTCGAGAATTTGAAGATAAAACCTGGTTTCATTTTCAAAAAACCGAATTTCATAAAAATTTTAGGATTTGAAAAATTTTCAAATTGAAATTTTGGCTGTTAATAATCAAGTTAAAAGTGATGCATCAATTTTTCAACAGCAATATAATTTTTTTCATCTTGTGTATCGAAAGTAGAACAATTAAAAAAAAATTTTACCGATACATTAATTTTAATATATGTATAGAGTCAATTCAAAATTTTTTTCTTACATTTTTTCCAGTTCATTTGATTTGAGGCTATTCACCCTGCCTGATCATCAATGAATTTGATTAAACTCAGTAGTGTCCATTGACTTTTTTTTTTTTTAATCTGTTAGGAATGTGCTTACGTAATGGATTTTTTGTTTAATAGCATTTCGCTGGCAGGTAGAATCTAAATCAACATCTTCGGAGTTTTTTTTTTATAATATTACTTCTTGAAAATTTAATGTATTGATGTCGAGAAAAAAAAATTTTCAATTATTAAAATTTTATGATTAGTTTAATGAAAACTACTCATGAAATACTTCTTTGTTAAGGAACTAATTCTTTTAATTTAAAAAAATATCTGAAAAAAAGAAAATTTTCTTGGTTCAATTCAACCTTTTTTAGTGTAACTATCATATTATTCAAATCTTAAATTATAATTTTTGCGTTTAATTTTCTTTATTTTATTTTAATTCTTTATTATTTTATATCATATTGAAAAAAATTCTAATTTCTCTATTTTTTGTTAAAATTAATATAGTTTCTTGAATAAAAATAGGTAATAATTCGAATTTTTAAACTTGCCAGCAAAATATATATTTTTCTAAGTATAATTTTATATTCTCATAAAAATTTGTTCCATTACAACATTTGATTAATTATTTTATAATGATATAAGTACAGAAGGTAATCTAATATTAATGCATAAAAAGTTCCTATGTAGTATCAATGAAATCCCTACACTTATGAAATAGTTATTTTTTTTTATGCGCAAGTTATATCAATGTTGATGCATGTGTTTTGACTATGACAATATGGGAATTACTATTATACAAAATAGAAAAAATACCAATTTTTTTCTTATCATAATGTTATTACCCGAATTAAAATAGTAAAATCACGGTCATGTTACTAGAGCCCGTATTCATGATAATCGATAAACGAGACGAGCTTTCCAGCTGCAATTTCTTATGTATCGCGACGTGTGAATTCTGCTTTTGACAGTACTGTCTATTTGTTTTATTCATTTATTTGTTTAAAATTTTGATTGTTACATTATAAGTGTATTAAATATTGTGACCATAGGACTTGTTATCAAGGTACTTATTTCATTTAACAATATATTTGGTATATTCTCTGCATCTTATAATTTTTTTGTTATGTATGTTTTTTTTATCTTTTTTGTTGTAGAAACTGGTAAATCGCATTATATTTATCTACGATCTGCTGCAGAACTTATGATTATTAGTTTTGTATATGTTCTTTTACATTAATTATCTGTTTATTTTTAATATTATATTATTCATTTTAAATTTATTAATTAGTTATTTATTAGTAAATAAAAAAGTAATTAAAACAACTGCAATGAAAATACAAACTATAAGAAATGATGAGAGAAATATGTAAAATACAATGCATTGTCATATTAACATACATTTACAGATAAGGTATTAAAAAAAAAAAAAAAAAAACCCGTTTTTTTTTTTTTTTGTTGATGTCCA